AAACTTGTTTAAAAAAATATTTTTTAGTAATAAACAATAATAATCTAATAATCGTATTTTTTAATAATTTTTAAAAACAAAAAACTTTTTAAAAAATTCAATTAATTAAAATTTTCTCAAAATATAATTATTCTTATTATTCAATTCTTTATTTTATAAAAAACCTTTTAAAAAATTTCTAATTTTTTTTAACTATATATAGTATATATTTAGGGCACATGACTTATATCATGTCTTTTGATCAAAAGTATCAAAAGTGAAGAAAGTATAAAGAGTGTTGAAAGTAAAGAAAGTGTGGAGAGTGTCGAAAGTGAAGAAAGTGTAGAGAATTTCGAAAGTGAAGAGAATATCGAAAGTGAAGAGAGTGTCAAAAGTGAAGAAAGTGTAGAGAGTGTTAAAAGTGAAGAAAGTGTAGAGAGTGTTGAAAGTGAAGAAAGTGTAGAGAGTGTCGAAAGTGAAGAAAGTGTAGAAAGTGTCGAAAGTGAAGAAAGTGTAGAGAGTGTTGAAAGTAAAGTGTAAAGAGTGTGGAGAAAAAAAAAAAGGTGAGTCGGTTTATGTGTTCTTTTATAATTCTGCACTGATCTTATCACAACGCGTCTGAACTTGTTTAATAATAAGTGTGTGAAAATAAACTGTAAAAAATAACAGCGTGTTTACTATAAAATTCTTGAGTTTTGTTAACATTGACAGTTGTAATCTTTCTATTTTTGAAATAATTAGATAATGACCTCAAGGATTCCACGGACTTTTTTTTTAGATAATCTCTTTTCACGGACTTTTTTTTTAGGTAATCTATCTTTGTATCTTTGTTTACTGTACATGAGATGAAATTCACGTAAAGATCGGACATATAAAAATGACACCGTAAACATGAAAAGAATTAACTAAATAATTAGTTTGTTTCGTTTGACTCGTACCATCGTGCGAAAAATTTAGGAAATGTCTAATTAAGTTACCCGATTTGGATTAATTGGTAAAGATCTCAACCTTTTATAGTTACGCCACTCCATCTACTGCGTGATTTTTCGAAACGCGAGATTTCTTTTGATAATGATTATTCGAGTTCGATACTTTAGTGTGGCAGCCAACACTATTTTAATTGTCCGGAGCGTAGTGGAGGACTTTACGCGATTTTTTATATATCTATTAACCAATTAAATTGTAGGAACTACATAAGCAAAGTTAATCATGATAACAGGATAACGA